AACCTATCGTGATCCATCAATCATTCAGTCGTCGTCTTTGAACGATTGGCATAATGCCTTAATTACCTTTAACTTGAAGCTTTCTCATTTCTTTAAGCGAAACTGAGGAAGACATCAAGAAAAAAGCTCCCTGGTTGAAGCTCAGTAAAACAAAAATATGGGTACATATATTTTCTGTGCTGCGTACACGACGGTGCTTAGATATGCCTTACAATAGACACTTGGTCCCTGGCTCGATCATGCGGTCAGGCCAAACCGTTGTTCTCCTTCGGATCGGCTTCCGTCGGTATTAGCCCTGTTTATGAAGACAAAAACACTAATTTGATACATCGGTAGACCCCAAATTCAGTGCATAGGTAAAATATGCTTTGAATCAACTCTACCATGCTAGGAATGGAATCAAATGCGTGGTGCACACCTGAGGACATTGTTGAAACAACAGGTTTTATTATTTGGCTTGAGAATTCAGATTGCGCACATTTTCAGCGTGTCAACATTGCACGCCTCTTGACATAAATGTAAATGCTGATAGAAAATTATGATTGAGTTCTGCTTAACCACAACTGATTATTTACAACGGAAGGGATGAATTGGAAACTAATCAAAAAATGAACTAAATATGCCATAAGAAACCTCTTAGAATTCGGAGAATGCGCATAAATCGGAATTTTGCAGCATTTTCGTTACACCGCCACCCTATCCAGGCTGCACTTCCTATCTCGGTGCGATTACTCGTACACTTGGGGAGACAGAATTCTGTCCGTTTGTGTAATACAACACACCAGAAACAGATGCATTCGGATTTTTCTGACTGCCTTCCGAAGTACGATTAAAGACTGATAGCTTAATCCTCTTGATGTTGAGCTGTGATTTATACTCGGCCTCCCGTGGACGGGTGTGGCGCACTGGTCGAAGGCGTCCTACGATACGCACATAGGATCGATCACCGCGCTCCTGGCCAACCAAGCCTTCCATGTTTCAGGGTACTGCAAATTGTTACCTGACCTGTCTGAGAGGATAGCAGCACTGGCTCGATACATCGGTAGGCCAGCGCGAGTCATTGTAAAGGCCAGATATGCATTCAATCCTGTCCAAACGATGCTCGGTGTAGTCGAATGCATGGCGCATCCTTCAAGCATTGATGCTGAGCTATTCGCAAAACTTGGACCCCGTGCCAGATCGAACCATGATTTCCCTTTCCGTGGACTCGCGCATTACACACTGTACCACGGAGGCCTTTGCTCTGCGTTTCTCTCAGCTAGTTTTCTACCTAGCGCTGCCATCAGCAATCGCCCGTCGGCGGGATTGATCCGGAGAGCACAAATCGGCATTGAATCCAGTTAAGTTGAAACTGTATCGAAATGACAATGTTAACATTTTATTTTTTTGCTTGATATAATTGCTCACGGCAGAGTATGATGTGAATTATAACCACAACGATGCTAAAATATCCGTAAAACGTGGAGGCCGGGCCAGACCGAACCACGGTTTCCCTTCCCAGAGGCTCGAGCATTACGCACTGCTCCACGAAGACCCATGCTCTGCACCTCTCTTAGCTAGTCTTCTGCATGGGGTGATTGCTGCTGTCAGTGCTAGGTAGAAAACTAGCTAGGAGAAACGCAGAGAAAGGGTCTCCTTAGAGCAGTGTGCAATGTGCGAGCCGCCAGAAAGGGAAATCGTGGTCTGATTTGGCCCGGGGTTCAAGTTTTGTGAATATCTCAGCATCGCTGTAGTAATGAAATTATTGTTTTCTTGGTGAGCATATACGACCTCCTTATTTAATTCTTTGTTCACGAAAAGGTAACGGTTCGGCAGATTTCACCTGCTTCAGAGCCTAGAAATGTCAAGTTGACTGTAATCTACCCAGCCCAATGCCTCCATAACCAAACAGAGAAATTACGAAATGTAGATTTAAATCTCATTGAAAACAAAGCAGCTTCCTCGCACACTTACTACTTTCTACGAGTCTTCCACTAAGTATTTCGCGTGGAGACCAACCACACGAAAGCCACATGGTATGGATAATGTGCCTCTCCCACATCAAATCCTTTTTTCCTTTATACGACCCGTCTTTCCTATCCACTGTACGGATCCCAGCACTTCTCACATTCGATTCGTTTCCTCGCATCCGTTGTCCACGAAGATCTTCTAACTTTTACGTGCGGCTTCGGTTGCTACTTGAGGATTTTCATTTCATCTTATATGTCGTAGATAGCTGGTTGAGCAATTCTCTGTGGAGTCCTGAGATAGCTGGGCTGAAGTGTTCCCAGTTGGACTGCAGAGAGTGTTTTTTCTCCGGACAAGTCCGGCACCAATATGCTGACTCCGGAGGGATCGGAGGCCTGGTTGAATTGGAGCGGAATCAAATTAGCAACATGCTCATGCTGGCAGACCATCATGCCGTCACATCAAAATATCGGTATCAAATAAGCCATTTCTCCTGCGGTTAATTTTTCGATCCTTTGCATTTATCCAAAACGCTTAAAGAGTTTTACGCGTTAATGTTTTGTATTCCTGTGCGAGGATAGTCGCTGTTACTTCAAAATCTTCTTCATTATGTCTTCGTGTCCTGTTCGTGCGTAGTGGAATGTTTTCTTTAATTTTACGCTTCCCAATTGGATGCTCTTTTTCACGGACGCGCAGTGGTTTATCCGTTTCGCCAAAGTATTCGTCTCCACGTGCTTTACAAGAAGTCAAGTACACCATACCCCAACGTATGCAATAATCGTCTCTACTGTTAGGGGATATTCTGCAATTTTTCGTTGTGCATCGACATTTGCAGAGACATAGACATAGAATCAATATGTATTCTTTCTTTGATGAGCTGACACGAGATTGATAATGATATTTATTCATTTTCGGCTAACGTTTCGACGTCTTCGTCTTCCTCAGAGCTGATGATCCGAGTCGATGGTCCATGCTTATTGTTCGTTTCGACGTTGCAGCTTCGCCTTCGTGTCGAGTCAGGTCTTCCTCAGTGAGCCATCTTCTCGAATTTCGAAAAAGACATGGAGTTTTGTTCGATATTAACAGTGCATTCAGTTGTTCCGAAATTAATGTTCGACTTCAAGCCGTTTTTTTTCCTTGAGGAGTTAAATCTTAACTCGGAAACTTTTCGTAAAAAAAAATAGACATAGCAGCTATTTGAACATATACAGGAAAAGTGGGTTTATGGCATAAATTTCTAGACAACCTAATATGGACGGCAGAGCATTCCGCGTTGAGCAATACCGGAGAGATGCACCAACTCCATTCTGGACATTGTAGAAGTGACTGAATGCATATCTGGCCTATGCAGTGACTTGCAGGAGCATATCATTGCATCAAGCCTCCGTTTTTATCCTCTCAGAGATGTTTGGTGCCAATTTGCCGACTCCATAGAAGAATGGCGGGGTTGGTTTGCGTTTAGCACGAAATCGAACCAACGAGCACATGTGTATTGCAGGGGACCTCTACTCACTACACTACACGCCCCGTGCAGAACGTAATATATTAACTAACAAAAACACGTTTATAGTTCGTAAATGAATAGAATATGATTGAAAGGGTTTGATGAATAGAGGTTGTCGTACAATGGCGATTGAATCCTTGAATCATTAGCGTGTATACGTTCGTGAGCATGACAGTGCTTACCCCGTTGCCGTTTCCGAATTCACCTCAACCACCTACACCCTATTCGTCAATAACTGTTTTCTGCCCAGTTGCTTTTCAATGTATGACTTGATGCGCTCTGTTAGGTGTCATTGACAAAAAAAACAAGCTTGCAAGAAAACAACTGGCTAGCATTTTTCTATTCTCTTATGCTTTCACCTCTGTTCATAATTATCGCATTTACTACATGCGTAGTTTTTGATATTTAGCTTATCGACGAGTATAACACTGTGTTTAAAAGTACCCTACAACACAAAGGTGGTCATTAGTTGGAACCCACGCCGTGACAAAACCAAGACCGTTTGCTCCTTTGGAAGCAAAATTGTCTGGGAGGACAGAAAACACTGGCTCGAAACATCGATAACTCCACAAGTTATTGCACAGGTTAAACATGCAGTCAATTACCTCTACGATACTATGAATGGAGTCGAATACATGGCGCATCTTTCCTGAACCTGTTAGCACCAAACGGAGTTTTGGCACTAATTTCCGTCTTTGGGACTACGAAAACTATTTGCTCAGGGGAACGGTGGTATTTTCTTATAATTAAGAACTATCAACTTAGTCCCTATTAGTCCCTATAGTCCCTATTAGTATCACCTGTCACCTGCCATCGAATTAATCGTCGAACGACTCGAGCAGGCGCTAGTAAACTTTCCATTTTTCCCCTTCGCGTTCAAGAACAGTGCAATCGGTTCTACTGGCGTTAAAGACTCCTTCAGCATCTCTTCTTTCTAAAATTCTCGTGAAGAATTCTGGCCACCGGCTCGGTGGTCTTCCAGCTGCGCATTTGACATCGCGACGAATGCAGTCGCTGACGGTTCTTCTCCATCGGGTGTTTTCATACGCACTGCTCATCCAACCTGCCTTGTCTTGGGCAATTTGGCTTACGGAGCGGCTTCTTTGATTTTCGATCGTTGGCGTAAATCGAAGTTTCGGATGCCTTCCCACATTTACATGATACGGGATACTCGTAACATCGTACTTTCGACGGCTCGTTGTATAAGAATGAGTGGTTTCTCAACGTGCTTACGTGGCGAGCAGGATTCTGACGCATACGTTAAGGCAGGGAGAATCGTGAAGTGGAAAGGGTGGAAACAGGTTCTGGTGTCCTTTGTTCTCTTCACTGCATCCTCAATGCTTTTGAAAGCTCCCCAAGTCGTTCGCTTCGTCTTGCTCAACCGTGGTGCAAAGTTGTTCATCGTGTTCACTTGGGACGCTTTAGTACATTCGCTAACACTTATTAGGATTTAATTTATTTAGTGACACTTAGCTTCTCCTCTGTGTCACTTCTGTGATCGTTGTAACTCGACGTTTCAAATTCCCTATATAGGGGATCTGGTGGAAGTATGGGTGATCAAATAACTTGTAAATACTGGATTGCCCAAAAAAGCTGTCCAAAAGAAGATAAGGTCTCTCCAGATGATTGTGATTATTTACAGCTATATGATTATACTGTCACACCAGCTCGAGAAAAAGCAGGGCCATTTGAAAACTTATCTTCAGTGGAAACAAGAAAACCACTTAAATTAGTGAAATCTATTATTTGAGGACGTGACACAATTTGCCAGTCACCAGCCCCATTGGAAGAAGCTGAAGAAGTTATGTTCACTGCTATATCAACAAGCCAGACACCACCGTTAGCATCATCCGAAAGCGATTCGGACACTCAGGTAGAAACGCTATGAAGAAAAGTATAAACGAGGCGATTAGAACGGTTCAATAGATTTGAAAACAGTTTGTCAATGTACGCATTACTGTGATATAATCGGCTTACAACAGTCTTTGTTCTTATATAATGCTGAGATATTTGCAAAACTCCAGACCGCAGGTGTATGCGGTGGGAAACGAACGCGCGTTATTGACCTTTCCGGGGAGTAGCGAACTTCAGCACCACACCATCCGGGTCCTTCGTTTTGCCTGTCTCTCAGCTAGTTCTATTGATCTTTTGCCATCAGCAATCACCCGTCAACGCGATTGGTTGAGCTCCCCAGACCGGAAAGGTCAATAACGCGCGTTCGTTTCCCGCCACATACACCTGCGGTCTGGAGTTTTGCAAATATCTCAGCATTATATACGAGTTATATTTCGCAACATACCCTGCCATTAAAAAGAAAAAGGCAGTAAATAAAAAGGTTAAGATAGTCTTTGTTCTTTTAATGCGGATAACTTTTTAGTTAGAACTCGATTTGTCGTTGAAAAATCGTTCGACGATCGCTTTGACGTCGTCTGGATACGGGTCGTCGCTAGCATCAAGCGAATCCGATCCGGAGACGATCGAACAGGTGGGTGGTACTGGACCAGATCGTCTTCGAACAAAGAGCATTTAGATTGTTATTTTCTGGATTAAAGCATAGAGCAGAACAGGTGAGGGAACAAAATTTCTGAGTCAGTATCATATATATATATATATATATATATATATATATATATAAATATGTTGACTATATATAGAGGAAGAGGGCACTGCAGAAGCTAAAAGTATGAAGCATTCGGTGTATATTTGCATTTAAGGATGCTCCATGCATTTGGTCCCTCTTTAAGTCAACGTAGAAACGATTGCATGCATATATAGCCTAAATAGTAGATTAGGGCCATATTGACGTTTTACTGTATTTTGATATTAACGTATGGATGCACGTAGCGCAATGGTTTAGAGGTGCCCTGCAGTACACATGGATTTAATCCCCCATCGCAAGCTCACCAACCTTCTGCCTCGCCGGAGTCGGGAAATTGTTTCTGTTCCAGACCTATCTGAGAGCATAGCAGAACTGATTCGATAGATCTGTAGACCACCGTGAACGAATGTATGTACCAGATATGCATTCGATCACCTCCGATGTTGCTTGATGAAGTCGAATTCATGGCGCATGCTTCAGGAATTAATCAACGCCGAGAACTTTATCTTTTACTTATCTTTATTGATGCATTAAGTCAGCAAACGCAAAACGCTATAGGAATGCTGGGCTTGGGAAGGACTGGTGCAAAAACAAGACCAATGACATTGTGCATATTGCAAGGTGTGTCTAACCGCTGTGCTACATTCTCATAGTATAATGTATGTACCACGTATAAATAGTGTAAAACGATAACGACTAGAAAGCTCTAGTGATGCAGACGTTGTGTAAAAGCTAAATATCTATTATTTTATAGTTTGAGAAGAGACGATGTGGTAGTGCGTCAGCTTCACCTTGCAAGGTCTTCACTGATGATATAATGAGAATTTTGCAACAAGATGGACATGCAGTATTTATAGAGACAGATGTGGTGCGTTTCTAGAAGAAAACACTTTATAATCATACTATCATGGAAGAACGGCAACAAAATCAGACTTCAGCGTTAGTTAGTGCGGAGAAGTCTCTTATCCGACTACGCACGGAGCGAAAGGCAAATCTCCCTACTACTTTTCTCGTCTACGAATAATGTTCATAAACAAAATCTAATGATATTAGGTCGTTCAAGCTCAACTTTCAAAGCGACTTATCTCAGTTCAGAAGTAAAGTTTAAATCGAAATAAAAATTGCTGGAATCTACATATTTTTGCTAGGAAAAAAACAAATTTATTTAAATCAATCGCAAGGAATCCTGGACATGTGTTAGCAACCTGCTAATTGAAGGCAATTTCGACTTTTGCTTAGTCTGTGAATCATGTATAATACAGGAAGTTGTAGAGGTGCTTGAAAAAGTGAAAGTCGGTAGAAGAGAGTGTGGTGAGTAGGATGGATGGGGCAGAGTTTCGTGGCCCAACTCGCTTAGCTCTTACAGTGTCGATTACAAGACGTGTCGACGCTCATTACGAAATCCTTAAATTTATTGTAATCAATAGTAGATAGAAGGGCGACTGCGACCTCGCTCCTCTTGAAGGTCGAACTCCCTACGACGGGATTTTCAAAACCGTCCTTTCGTTCTTTCTTGGCTTCCTATCTTTTCGTAAAAGTAGATTTGTTGAAATTTGCGCTTTCTCGTCTGAAATCCTGTGCTTAAAAATTTTCCAAGAATACAACCTTGTCTAACTTTTTATTTACTTTTATTTACTGCGTGACCCTCCCAACGGCTTACCGCCTCATCGTGGATGGGAGGTGTTCCTGGGTGTCGGACTGCGATGTACAGCGGAGGATTCGCCCCCCCCGCAGGGTCTCCCAAGTTGAAAAGGAGTCCGGTGTTTCCATCAGGAAGCCTAACTAGGAGTAAACCAATACCAGGATCCGCCACCGTCCGGGTACCAAAGTCGCATGGTGACAAATCTCTCTCTGATCCACAAGAGCTGCGACTACCTATCGTGGTGACGACCTGGAGCAGACTTTGGCCAGGCTGTCCTCGGGATTCCAGGGAACCACAATGGCTTAAACAGCAAATCTCCGAAAAATGGTGATTATGCTGGGGCCCGCTCAACTAGTGATGACGGGGCGTTCAATCAAGTATCAAGTGCTGCATGACACCTTCTCATGGCAGGGTATTATGTCAAATACAACCACACTGATAGTGAGTTATTTGCAAAACTTCAGACTCCAGGTGTCTGCGGTAGAAATCGAACATGATATTACCTTTTCTGGGGAATCATTTGTTACCAGTTGCACTACCATGGTCCTTACTTTGCCTTTCTCTCAGACAGTTTTTTACCCTAACCCTGCCATCAGCAATCACCCATCAATAGGAACGACGGCCTATATTATAATTCAATTATATGAAGCAAAAGTGTATAAAATGAACTTTCCAGTGATGTATTGTAGTACGGCATAAAAAGGAAAAAAAAACATTCTCAATATAGGCGATCCCAGTGTTTTCTCTTTAAGTGCTTATCGACTTTGATGCGATTGCTCGTTGCCTTTAAAAACACATTCAGTCATATTCGCATAGTGAATGACGACGATTGACAGTTTAGAGGGACCGATGTATTGTTGTTGTCAATGTTGTTGCTGCTTTTGCTCTTGTCAGCGGTGGATACAATTTTCTCGTATGCAGTTGGCCTGCGTGATCTATTGAACAGTGAACAAATGAGAAGGTGAAAAATAAGTAGAAAGCTTCCGGCATTGATCAAACCCTGTAGGATAGCCACGCATTCGAGTTTTTGACTTCATCAAACATCGTTAAAGGCAAACGAATGCAGATCTGACCTATCCATTGGCTAGCGGCCTAGGAAGCCCGGAGAGTGAGACGGAACCAGCGGCAGGTACCAGTTGATTCTCTCCATCGATGTTCCATATTTGGCGCTATGTTCGGTCGATGCTAATTCCAACCGCACATTCGATTTAGTGTTGATCTTGACAGTATATGGCTTTTATCAACCTTTTTCCGAATGTTGTAATGCTTGAAGTGCTTCAAGTAGTTCAGAATTGTTACGGCAACGGTGATCGCTTGTAGTAGTGATTACTCTTCTTTGTAAACGACCAATTCATGTGTCTCCTTCATTTGATGGATTGTGAAACAGGTCACATATACGCCCTCAAGCAGTCGGTAGTATTCACCTTTAAGGCTACTCTGTCTCGGCGCCCATGTTCAATGTTTCAGTTGCGCTGGGTTGACTTGCGATTTCCTTATGTGCGTACACAACCTCATACATTTGTGGCTGAGCTGTTTACGCCCATGCAGACTATGCTGTGCAACCGGAGTCCTCTAGAAGCTTGCATACTTCACCGGCCTCTTCGGCTAAAAAGCTCAACAACGGAGCGGACACCATAACAAGCTGCTTGTGTATACCCCGCTCTCATAGTAGAGCTCGGCTATGCATGGCTGCTTTCTCACCAAGAAAAGGGGAATAAAGTGCATCGTCGCGCTATCATAAAGATGACTTTCTTCGTGCCGATCAAACCAACGAAAATCATAGAACCGCTTTTGGAGCACAACAAGGACGCATGAACCTTCTACGCGTTGTATCTTAACGGACTCCTCTCTCTCTCTTTTTCTCAGACCACTATTACAGCCCATTCATAAGCGTCTCCTTTAATTTTTCTCTTAAACGTCCTGGTCATTCGTTTACTTGCACCCACCATCCACGAAGGTCTTCAAACTTTTCTGTATGTAACTTCGGCCGGCTGCAGCTTGAGGATTTTTCGTCTACGGAGCGAATTCTATTGAATACTGGTTGAGTTGATTCCACCTCGAGCGTAGATTAGCTGTAATAGAGCGTTCCTGCGTAAATGTAATGGAGTGATGCTGAGATATTTACAAAACTCCGGACCGCAGGTGTATGCGGTGGGGAACGAATGCGCTATTGTCCTTTCCGGGGAATAACGCGCTCACCACCACGCCATGCGGGTCCTTCGTTTCGCCTGTCTCTCAGCTTGTTCTATCATTCTTTTGTCATCAGCAATCACCCATCAACGGGATTGATCTGAGGAGCTCAAATCGGCATTGAACCCAGTTAAGCTGAGGCTATAGTTATAATCACAATCTTAACCTTTTTATTTACTGCCTATTCTTTTTAATGGCAAACGTTCGTTCTCCACCGCAGACACCTGTGGTCCGGAGTTTTGCAAATATCTCAGCATTACACGAGTTATATTTCGCAATATACCCTGCCATTAGAAAGAATAGGCTGTAAATAAAAAGGTTAAGATGGCAATGGAGTGAGCTGTGCCCAGACAATTCTAGCACCAATTTCCCTACAACTGCTGTATGAGATGCGTGGTGAGCCTGATGTGGGGTCGAACCAGTTCCGTAACAGTGATAAACGGAATCACTACCACTTTGCTATTCGTCTGTACTATTGATAATGAGTCTATCCTGTCAATCGAATTTCGTGATATTCGCGAAGTACTGTGCTTAGGTTTAATGGTTTTTTCTTCTGCTCGTTTATTTTGAGTTTTATAGAGATTGTTTATACAACTTTGTTTTAATATAACAGCTACTTCATAACATGTTATAATTTGATCGATATGACGTCGGTAATTCATCTATTAACTGTGAAAACTGTTTTTTTTCTTTTGCTAGCGAAACTCAGTAGCTAGCTCTGACACAGCGGAGCTAATTGTGGACATTTTACTGGTAGTCGGTCTGGTCACTCGTTGATTAATGGAGTTAGTGACGCAGTTGCTTGTATCTAACTTTATCCTGAATCATTAAGAAAACGCCGAGTAGTCAAAAAAAGGATAAAAAACAATTGCAAGCTGAGCTTTGAATAATTCCGAGGTTGCGAGAAAGTCGATGCTGGAAATGGAGATGCTTCTAGAAGTGCTCTTGTTTCTGAACACTTGCCGTCAATGCGTCATCGATTTGAAGGAAAAAAATACTTTTTTCGTCCTTTTTCTGCTTGTTCTCGTCGATAGTTCACTACATTAGTGTTCATCTTCTCTGAAGCTTCCATTGGCACCCACAGTATACTACGAGAAAT